CCTTAGGTGTACGTGGCTGGCGCCTTAGCCGGTTGAGCTATAGGCGCCGAGCCAGGTTCCCCATTTTCTTCGATAACAATTCTAAACTCTCTCATGAGATTTATAAGGTTCTGCATTATCTAGGCCCTGTAACCATCTTTTTTCTTGAAATCGTCTTTGCCTGGTTAACTTCTACTTATTATTCAGTTCTCCACTTATGACGCCTGTGAGAAGGCTGCCTCTCCAGTCTGGGTTAGGTGCCTCTCCTCAATACTCCCAGAGAACTTTTACCTTCTCTATCTTCTCTAACTTTTATCTTCTCTATCTACCTTCTCTAACCTCCTTGCTTGTCCATATCCCCAATTAGATTTTGAGCAATGTTCATCTTGTTTATCACTATAACCCTGTGCCTAACACAATGCTTGGCACATATCATGGGTACAATATGCATTAGTTGAACAAAATAATCTACTATCTCCCATGATGGCATTACATGTATAAAAGGCCTGATTTTCTAGTTAGCTTTGGGATCTGTTAAAAAGATCTCTCCAGACCCAAATTCCCATAGTTACCCTGATGAATTTAGGCCCACTGAATTGGAGATACTTGAGTGTAACTTACCAATGAATAATTTCATTGGTGAGAGGGCTCAAAGTATCCAATTTTAGGGTTCCAAATGCTGTCATCTATGAATAAATGCAGTAAAATGCAGTAACAGAAATTAATCAGGTAGAACGTGTCTACATTGGAATGCTCCATCTGCAGAATTAGGGGTGAACGTTTTCCCCCAGGCCTTAGGCTTGAGTTTTATCCCAGGTTTTCCACATACTTGCCACTTAGGCAATCCATGTTATCATAAGTAAATTCAATTGCGTGTGTGTGTTCCATTTACTAATAAATAACCCTGACAGTAGAAAGAGAGCAAAAAAATGCCTCATAAAACTTTAAGACCTAACACAAAACCAGAATGGTTTGCTCTCTTCTTACTCATCCTATCTTTACCCATGTACATACATATACATTCACACCCCAAAGAAGAAAATGTTGCGAGAGCTGGGGTGGTACCTGTGGCTCAAGGAGTAGGGTGCCGGCCCCATATGCCAGAGGTGGCAGGTTCAAACCTGGCCCTGGCCAAAAACTGCAAAAAAAAAAAAAAAAGTTGCGAGAGCTTTCTAACTTAGTGGAAAGTTACTCACCTATCATGCTCCACAGGCTTTGCTCATTTTTTCTTGCCACTTCCTCCTGAACTTTGCACAGCATTTGTTCAATGGACAAAACCGCCTCAATGAGGTCAGCTGGGGCTCCTTTAATCTCTAACCTTGCCTTTTCCAGACTGATATTCTCTGAGATGGAGACATCTGAAGTTTTCTGAAGCTGAGACAAAAGGTCATGTTCCTTTGTCCCGAAGTATAGAATATGATTATTCTCAATGTGGTGGTGGTCCTGGAGGGTCAATATTCTTTGGATCCATGCCTTGGCCTCATGCATCTCTTCCTCATTGCAGCTCGTCAGATTGATGACAGGAGATCGAGCTTCAAGCCCATTTTCTCTCTTTTCCTCTCTGGTCGACTGGGGGACTGAAATGACTATCATAAGCAACCACAGAAGGCTAATGGGCTTTAAAATAGTGCAGAACAAAATACAGTGGCCAGTGTTCACCACAGTGATATTGCCACCACTGTCAGAAGTAGCAGCCCCTATCTCTGAAAGCTGGGTTGGGTATAAGTGTGGTATAAACACATCTTTACACGAAAATGTACACCTCTTCAGGAACAGAGTGTATCCTGTAACAGGTTAGCTTTATCATATCTTGCCTCATCTGTGTTAGATTTGTCAGTTCACAGATGAGTTCGCCATGAGATCTCACCCTGGATGTTCACTTTTACCTCTTGCTAAATGGAATTTTCTTTACCTCTTGCTGTTACCAAGGTTAAAGTCAAATATCTCTGAAAGCCATAAAGCTTAAAGATTGAAAATTTTTTTTTTTT